TAGTGCTTAGAATATTGTGCCTCACAGTATAGAAGGTGCCCAGTAAATATTTGTTGAATGAATTGATGGATGGATGGATGGATGGATGGATGGATGAGTTGCAAAAAAATGGGAAGTAACTTACATAGCAAACTAAACATTACACTAATTATTTAGTAAATTATTCTGTATTCGCTAGTTTGGAATATTGAGTTATTTGAAATGCTCACAAAAACTGTAATCTTGTAGGGAAATACTGTTGATAGAAAATAAAATTCTTTTCACCTTTCAGCAAGGTTCCTGAGTGCCCACTATGAAGTGTAACAGTTAATAAGTGTTCTAACTATAGAGTCAGACCCAGATTCAAAAACTTTCACAGCTGAGCCACCATCATTCGGATACATTGTTTCCTTAGTGTTTATATTTCTGTAAGGAAGGGAAGACCCAAGACCAGGTTTCTTTTTGACCCTTCATTTGTCCAGATTTTCAGCTGTATCTGCGGCTGTTTTCCCTCAGTCATATGAATGATAGCAGGAGCAATAAAGGATATTTTTCTTTGTTCACTCAAGTAAGAAACAAAGAAAGAGAGAGAGAGAGTGAGAAAGAGAAAGAAAGAAAGAAAAAGAAAGAAAGAAATAAAGGTACAGAGGCAGACTGACAGATTGTTTTCTAAAAGAGCAAGGAATTTCCTTTTCTGTAGCCCCTAGAAAATTTTTCAGATTTCACTGGTCTGAACTAGATCTTGTGCCTACAGCTAAGCACTCTAGCTGAAGGAATAGGATTACTCTAATTGATTTGATCTAACCCTAACTCTGGAATTACCGGGTAGGTCAGCTTTCACTACAGGCCCCAATGGCATACATTTTGTTTCTATTATTGGCATCTTGAGCCAACAAGACTCCTTGGGTTATTGCAGTCACATGATTAGGACAGGAATTTTTGACATGGAGTAATAAATTTAACATCTTTACTTGAATGTCCCATAGCTGTTCACACGCAGTATGTTTAAAATTAAAGTCATCAACTTTTTCTCAGCTAGCTCCTATAAACCCTATCTCAATATAATAATAAACAAGACATGGTCACTGCCTTCATAATAGTTGTGTGTGGAAAGCGATATCAAATAGGGAATTGGCCCATAACTAGAGGTATTTTTAATCATATGAAAAAGATAAGTGAGTAAAAATAGTTCTTATTCCCTCTCTGGTTGGCATGTTTAGTTTTGATTTTCCCCTATGGTTATTTAGTAAATTTCCACTCATGTGATTATATATCATGTCCATTATCAATAAGAGATTCGCAAAGAGAGTTATGCACTACAACCCTAACTTATGGTCTCCTATATGGAGGATTTATTACTGGTATAGAAATGCATTCAATACTAGTTGCTTCAAAAATGCATGGTCTCTGTTTATGAATGATCTTTCTCTAGAAGTTACTGCAGTTTATACAAATATGTTTGTTTTGTCTGTTTTAGATCTTAAAAAGGGCTTTCAGAGAACAGAATGTCATCATTAATCTTAATTAAATAGTATGCTTTTATTTAGCTATATTACCTGCTACGTGCCAGGTAGCCTCATTGTGCTAAGTGCTAGGGATACAAAAATAAATACACACTGCCCTCAGAAAGCTTACAGTTTAATAGAGAGATTAGATAAACTGATAGTCAGCTACAGTACAGTCTGACAGATGCCATAGCAGAGGTGATCACAAATTGATATTAAATTTGAGTAATGACTGCACTTTGAATTGTGGTTAAACTGATCTTTTTAACTTGCAGAGTCTTTCTTCAGTTCGTGTGGTAGTTTACATAAACTAAGTGAAGAGCCACTGATTCCTCCTCCACTTCCTCCTCGGAAAAAATTTGATAATGATGCTTCAAATTCCAAGGTAGTCAGTCGGATTTAGGATTTGCCTTATTCATCTCATTCAAAGTTGTAAATCTTTAAAATCATATTTGTTCTTATTAAGAGTCTCAGTTAAAATTTGGTACCCTTTATGATTATTAAACATTTGAGTTGTTTTATTTGAAAAATACTTTAAGTATTTGTTTAATCCTCATAATACTTTTTCTTAAAAAATGGCTGAGCATGTTCACAGGTACTCAGAAGTACATTTTCCTGTAGAGATAGAAATAACTTTAATATTCATAGCATTGTTCAAGCTTCAGGGTGCTTCAGAATCACTTGGAAGCCTTGTTAAACCCAGATTGCCCGAGTTTCTGATTTAGTAGGTCTGGAGTAGGGCCTAGTAATCTGCATTTCTAACAAGTTCCTCATTGTTACTCATATGGCTGGTTCCTGGATCACACTTTTCAAACTGTGACTCTAAGCCTCACTGGGGAAAGTAGAAGTAGATGGCCAGAAACTAGTAGCTGGATATTAAGTTCTCTCAATATCATGTTCTTTGTCTACAAAACTATATATTCTTTTCATTCATTTGCCTATTATTATAATTAAAATGCATAAATTTATGAAATGTATTTACAAAGCAAGATACCCTGAAGAATTATGTTCCAAGATTTCAGTTAAAACATCTCATATATGAAAATATTAAACTGGGCCCTGAATTAAACTGGGAGTAATTTATTCATAAATCTGATCATGAAATCAAATTAACCTATTTTGAACCTGTGGATTTAACATGACAGGAATTTTTCATTCTTTTAAAAACTTTCTCTTACAGATTTTTTCAGGAGAACAGAAATATAATTTAATTGCTTTTTTTTCAGGGAAACATGAAATCTGATGATGACCCCCCTGCTATTCCACCAAGACAACCTCCTCCTCCAAAGGTAAAACCCAGAGTTCCTGTTCCTACTGGTGCACTTGATGGGCCGCTGCATAGTCCACCTCCACCGCCACCGAGAGACCCTCTTCCTGATAGCCCTCCACCGGTTCCCCTTCGGCCTCCGGAACACTTTATAAACTGTCCGTTTAATCTTCAGCCACCTCCGCTGGGACATCTTCACAGAGATCCAGACTGGTTCAGAGATGTTGGCACGTGTCCAAATTCGCCAAACACTCCTCCTAGCACACCCTCTCCAAGGGTGCCACGTCGATGCTATATGCTCAGTTCTAGTCACAATAATCTGGCTCATCCTCAAGCTCCCCCTGTTCCACCAAGGCAGAATTCAAGCCCTCACCTACCAAAACTGCCACCAAAGACTTACAAACGGGAGCTTTCACACCCCCCATTGTATAGACTGCCTTTGCTAGAAAACACGGAAACTCCTCAATGATCTTAGCCATATGTAGTCATTGACACTGGAATGATATTTGTAAAGGTTCTTTTTTTTAATTTATTTCAAAAGAGGCATAGTATTTTAGTACTTTTTACAAATAATGCTCTTAAAAATGCTACTGATCAAATAAGCTTTTAAAAATTTGAAAAACAAAAATATAAAAGTCCTTTGCCATTTTCCTCAGGTGATCAGTAGCATTGCCTTGTCTTGGATCCTCAGTGCTGCCAAATGGCCAGTATAAAGAATTTATATTTGCACTGTAGACTGCTAAAAAATATGGTTTAAAGTGACATTGATTGCACTGAAAAGAGAGAGTGCATTTGTGGAATTTTTCAAATTTGAGTAATAACTGCCTTTTTAAGGCAATAAATTTACACAAATATAGGGGTGTGTGGTGTTACTGATTTTTAAACCTCTTTGACCATCTTCCAGTTTTTACATTTACGAGAATTGTGAATAACACCCACTGTTCTTAAACTCTTTAATGCCATGTCTTAAATACCAGAATTTGCTGCTGAAGACAAAAATGAAAACTAGAATGAAAAGAATAGAATGCACTGTGTTTACTATTTGTCAAAATGTCAACAAAAAGACTACCTAACCCAATCATAGAGGAGAAAAGGGCATGTATCTTATTCAGATGTGCCTTTTGTTCTTGCAGACTATGGTGTCTTTAGCCAATGAGTTGCCTATTGTTTTGGAAAACAAACTTAATATGCCGTGTATGTATAGTTTTGTTTATATTGTATATGTAAAGATAATGCTAATAACCTATATAAATTTAAGTGACTCGAGGCCTGTAATACATCTGCTACTTTACTAATTCATAAATTCAAAGGAAAAGTTTTCTGTGGCATAGGAAACAACTGCCTTGCCTTCAAAACCTAGTAACTTTGTCTATAAATCTTGTGTTAACTAAAATTTTTTTAAATATTTTTTTTAGATTGGTAATATTTAAACCAACAAATACTTAAAGCTTTATTAAACTTTTTAATCAGAGAATGAGTAAAACTTTTACTTGCCATTTGGACTCCTTTGTTCAAAGTGATAAAAAAATGTATTTTGCTGATAGAGCCGCAGCAGCAGTTGTAAGGTAGCCAAAAGCCACGTTGTTTATTCACTGGTCTGTGGCCTTTTACTGTGCTTTGTATCAGAGTTCTCAACAAAATTAATAAATCACCCCAGTCTTAATTTTTAAAAGATTTTTAAAATACGTGTTTTCAGTATAAGGAACAAGGGGGGAGATTGTTGAGTTCTGGCGAATATTTGTACATACATTATTTTCAATATTTTTGTACTTCAATTACGTAATCCCAAAGCATTTAAGTGATGTAAATTTTAGAGGGATAACTGTCTTCATTGCTATATGCAATCAGCAAGCTTCTATCAACCATTGCTATGAATTCTGGTGAAAAATTAGGAGCATGCTGGCCATTTCTGATAAGCAGGATTATAGCTTTCCTAGGTAAAATCTTGGAAACTGCCTGTATTAAAAGTCCAGTAACTACTGTGTGAGTCAATATCCAGCCAGGTAAAAACATCAAGGTTGGTTTCGCTTTGTTTTTTAAAGAGCATATTATTGTAGTCTCTTTGTCTGGAAAAGTGATTTAAACCAGAATTGTAATTTAGGGGAGATGGAGGCAGTCCAGCGTCCAGTGGAAGCGGTGGCCCAGCCCTCGGCCACGCCCGAAAATGCTTCCTTCCGGGCTTTGTGCCTTTGCCCTCAGTCAGGCGCCAACTGCGCCACCAGGAGGCGCCGGGCTCCTCGCAAGGCCGGGCCGCGGGGAGGTGCGTGTGGGTGTGACGTCACTTCGTGCGCCGCCTCCTGTTGCCGGGCAGCAATGGAGGTTACTGGGGAGTCCTCTGTGGAGGACCCGTTGCGGAACTTCGTGCGGATTTTGGAGAAGACAGATGGCACGGTGCTGCGGCTGCAGCAGTATGGCTCCGGCGGCGTGGGTTGCGTAGTTTGGGACGCTGCCATTGTCCTTTCTAAATACCTGGAAACGCCCGGGTTTTCCGGCGATGGGGCCCACGCGCTGAGCCGGCGGTCGGTGCTGGAGCTGGGCTCCGGCACCGGGGCCGTGGGGCTCATGGCCGCTACCCTCGGGTAAGAGCTGGCGGGAGGGGCGCCACTTTGGGAAACTGATGCCTGGCATCCCACCTTTCTGCCTACGCCTCAGTCGTCGTTATTTTATAGGGCAGATGTTGTAGTCACCGATCTTGAGGAATTGCAAGACTTGCTGAAGCTGAATATTAATATGAACAAGCATCTTGTCACTGGTTCCATTCAAGCCAAGGTACTGAAATGGTTTGTATGGCCTTTCGGCTTGTTTTAATAACGATTTGTAGTTTGCTTTAAATTGTGTCTTGCTAAAAGCATAGTTAATACAAAGGGGATCTTCCGGGTCTTCTTTTTAAAACACAAATATTTTAAGTTATTAAAGCAACAGTTAAAATATTTGGTTGACATTTTTAAGGGGGGAAGAAATAGAAGACTTGACTTCTCCGCCAGACTACATACTGATGGCCGACTGCATATACTACGAAGAGGTAACTATTCAATGAGAGAAGTAGTCTCTTTAGACGATGTACTGTATTTTCTGGATTCTAGAGAACGCATTCTATCTGAATGCAGGATATGGTCACCAGGGACTACGTGTATACACTCATGTTTAACATAAAAGGTCTGAGTCATTTGGAGAAAAGTGTTAATGTGCATTTTACTAGAGGCTTCTGTAGAGTTTTAAAAGGATTTTTGCTATTTGGATCTGTTTTTTGAAACTTTTTTTTTAAACTTAGCTGTTGCTAGTGTACATGTAAAGCATGTCATTGAGAATTAAATTGCATTGTAAAGAAGTCATTGTTCTGTGGCAAGATCTATTAGACTCATAGAATGATTTTTTAAAATTACCAGTTTGTGTATAGCATTGTAGACATCAATCATTTTTTTAAATAACAAATATTGAGTCTCCTTATGTTCAGGTTAGATCAAACTTGCTTTTGTAGATGAATCGTTGATCATTTAAATCCCAAGTTAAATTAGATTAAACAAAGTTAAGTTTTTAATAGTGAAGTCAAGTCTTTCAGTTTTTCTGTGGGAACTCGAAAATGCAGTTACGTGAATCTTTTCTTTGGAAACTGAAGTCAATACAATAGTTAAGAGGAGTTTACTAATCATTAATTACAGAGTCTTAACTACATGTCCTTTGTTGGATTGATTCAAAGGTGGATAAATTGTAGGGGAGGTATAATTACTTACTCCCTCTTCCTTCCCTAGTCCTTTTTACAATAAAAATATGTATTTTTTTTAAAGTCACAAACAAAAATTATACTCTTTTTTTTTTTTTTTAACAGTCTTTGGAACCGCTGTTGAAAACTCTAAAAGATCTCAGTGGACCTGAGACTTGTATTATATGTTGTTACGAACAGCGAACAATGGGGAAAAATCCAGAAATCGAGAAAAAATATTTTGAGGTGGGTACTCTATTAGATCCATCTTTGTAGTGATTATCTTTCAGGGAGACTGTGTGTGACTGTGTGTTCAAGTATATTACAGTGATTTTGAGTCGGGAAAACATTCTGCTTTTAAGAACCCAAGGAGTATTCTTTGCAGCCCACCATTCTGCTAAGCCCCTTCCCTTTTTTCATCTTTTCTGAGCCTTTTTTCCTTTTTATTTTCTAATTAGTTGATCTGGTATATACAGAACAATGTAAAATAGTAGTGGTGATGATGCCCTTGTCTTTTCTGAGAAAGTTTGCAATGTTTGTTTATTAAATGTGCTGACTTTGGGTAATGTACTAATGATGTATATATTACTTTTGGAGAATACATCATAGAAACATGGAGTATGAGTTTTCCTCTGTATTTTTGTGAAAACTTCAACAGAGATATCTGTTTTGGGGGTTTGATTTGTTTTGTTTTTTTAAAATAAAAACTTACAGAAATTTGCCAAAGTAGTACATAGACTCCCATGTATCTTTCACTCATCTTCCCCCAGTGGTCACCCAAACCCTTTTAATGGACAAAAATCTTCTACAGGGTACATACATATAGCCCTGCAGTTTTATCCACTGAAAGGACTGCTTCATTTAAGCAAGAAAGGAATATATGACTGTCTCAGATATATGCTGTAATGGTTTTTTTTAATGTTTTTCTTGAATGTTAGGAATGTTGAACTTCTGAAACTTCATCATTGAAAGTTTTATATTGTTAAACCATTTCAGTTGAGTTAAAACATGTAAAATGTACATATATCAAGTGCTCAGCTCAGTTTTTCATGTGCATACACCCAAATAACCCCTACCCAGCATAAGGATATGGAACACGACCACAAAGGGCTCCCCGTGTTCCCCCTTCCTAGTCAGTACTGCAGATACCCACTGCTCTGACTTTTCTCACCACAATACAGTTCATATTACTGAATTTACAGTATATCTTTTTTAAATTTATAGCTCCTTCAACTAGACTTTGACTTTGAAAAAATTCCTTTGGAAAAACATGATGAAGAATATCGAAGTGAAGATATTCATATTTTATACATCAGAAAGAAAAAATCGGTAAATACATTCCTGGCTCTTTATCCTCTGAAGGAGTTTTCTTTAGCTGGATGCTGTCTCTGAGCTAATGTGTGACGTAGATACTGATTTTTGCTGTAGGGAAATAGCTATGATGATTCATTGGACTCAGGCATTAACTCTCAATATTAAGATCACTTTATCCGGTCTCGGGTTCTCCCTCTAAAGTAAGCATGCTTCTTCGGTAAAGGTCCTTTCCAGCTGTAAATTATATAGCATTATATTTGGGCATTACCTCAAACAAGTAACTTAGCTATTTTATAAGTTTCTGTTATTGGTTTGGCCAAAAAGTTCATTAGGTTTTTTTTCTATAAGATGGCTCTAGTAGTGCTTAGTTGTTTTTAACTTCCTCCACTTGAAACAATTTTGTTAGATTGTATTGTGACAACTATCATACCAGCAGGCATTTAAAAAACACTTACTAAATTAGTGAATTTCTGTGTAGCCATTTTAGTATGGAAGATGGACAAAAATAAGCAATATTTTCAGTATATTATGCTTTATTATTTCAAGAAAGGTAAAAACAACTGAAACGCAAAAAGAGATGTATACAGTGTATAGAGAAGTTGTAACTGATCGAAAGTGTCAAAAATGGTTTGTGACGTTTCATGCTGTAGATTTCTTTCTGGACAATTCTCTACCGTTGGGTAGACCAGTTGAAGTTGATAGCAATCAAACTGAGACATTAATTGAGAACAATCAACATTATATCATGCGGGAGGTAGCCAACATACTCAAAATATCCGAATCAATATGAAAAATGAGTACTTTATTTTACACAAAAAACTATATGGACTTTTTGGACAGCCCAATATTTCTTAGAGATTTTTAAGTGCCGGCTCTGACCTTTGTGAACTTTTTCCAACCATTCAAAAATTTTTAATAGTCAAAGTAAAATACAACAACCCTTCCCCTGGTTGTCCAGTGGCTAGGAAAGGCCACTTTCGTTACTGTAGCTCAGGTTCAATTCCTGGTAAGGGGAGTTAGTATGTTGAATTACTATGTTGTACACCAGAAACTAACAATGTTTATGTCATCTACATTTCAATAAAAAAAATTTTAAAGGAAAATATAACAAGGCAGATCTGTCCACTAATGAGAAATGCACTCAAATAGAACTATGTACGCTCTTTGCTGCTTCCTTTACTTGTTACAACAATTATTTAACAGTTGTTATTATAACAATTTCATGCAAGTTGCCTCTGTGATGCCTAGAGTTTCAGTCTAGAAAGGAAGAATTGTGTCCATTCTTTATCCAGGCACCTTTTGTATATGTGACTGGTTGGTACAAGGCAGGGGCATAATTAATTTTATGAATTAAGGATGTTAAATTTAATAACTCACACTTTTTTTTTTTTGCTTTGATTGAATTTGTGATGAAGTTTTTCTCATTATTGTGAATTTTAGCCAAAAGCAAATAACTTGTAATTTTGGGGATCAAGATCAGATGTTAGGACTATAAGGTAAGAGGAGTGATGGGATAAGTAAATCAGATCAGCCAGCTTTTATGTGGCAGGAGGCTGGAGATACAGATTTAGAAAGTGGTTTGTGCCTTAAGTGAACCAGTTTTAGCTGGAATTGTGTAGTTTTAAAAGTAGAGTTTTTTTTGAGGCATAAAGATTTTCCTAAATATAAAGGATTTATTTTGGCAAAGAATCATTTCTTTTTAAAAAATGGATGTAATTCATGAACTATAAAATTCACCCTTTTAAAAAATATACAATTCAGTGGTTTTAGTATATTCACACAGAGTTGCATGACCATCACCACTTTTTCTCATTTTAAACATTTTCATGACCCCAGAAAGAAACCCCATATCTGTTCCTGTTCCTGCCTCAGCCCCTAATTCGTGGTTACCAGTTTACTCTGCCTCTGTGGATTTGCCTATTCTGAACATTTCATATGCAGGTATCCCTTGCTTTCTGAAAGTTCACATTATGCCATTTTTCTTTTACAAAAGATGTACACTAGTATGGTAATATTCTGTAAGCAAAAATTCTCTTTGGATTTCTTTTGGTTAGTGAAATGGATACTAATGTGGGTCTGTCGTGAAAGCAAAGTGGCATAGTGCAAAAGCAGGGATGCTCTCCACTCTCTGCCATTTCAGCTTGTGAAAGGCTTCATAGGGATGAGCGGTGGGGTGGGGGTGGGGGGTCACTTGTAAATGAAATCACACAGTATGTGGTGTCCTGGGTCTGCCTTCTTTCACTCAGCACAGTGTTTTTAAGGTTCAACGGTGTTGCAGCACACTTCGGCACTGAACTCCCTTTTTATAGTTGAATAATACTTACTCGTATGGATCATCTACACCTTATCCATCCATTTATGAGCTAATAAGCCTTTTAGTATTTTTCACTTTTTGGCTCTGATGAGTAACGTTGCTATGAACATTCATGTAAACATTTTCGTGTGACATGTTTTTAAGTCTTTTGGTTATAGTCCTAGAATAGAATTGCTAGGTCATATGGGAACTCTGTTTAACTTTTTGAGGAATTACCAAACTATTCCAAAGCTAGTGTAACACTTTACATTTCCACTAGCAGTATGTGAGGGTTCCATTTCTCCATATCCTCACCAATCCTTGTCATTGTCCATCTTTTTTATTATACCTATCTTAATAGGTACAAAATGGTATTTTATTACGATTTTATTTTCATTTCCCTAATGACTAATAATGTTGAGTTTCTTTTCACATACTTACTGGCCATTTGTATATATTTATAGAAATTATAGTTGTAAAAGTTTACATAACTTCCAAATACTTTCTCCCACTCTGTAAATCCTTTTTGTTGTTTTGCTAGTATGTCCTTAAGCACAAAAGTTTTTAATTTCCTGCTTAAGATGATGTCAAATGTATCTTTTTTTCTTTGGTTGCTTGTGTTTTAGATACAGCAAAGAATCATCTCTAAACATTATGCATCGTTGTTCATTTGAATTTAGCCATTACTAGGCATATTATCTAGTATTAAGTACCCACTAAATTCTTAATGTGTAATAAGAATTCAATCTGTAAAGTTTCCATTTTTTTCCTTATAGAAATTTCCATCGTGAAATCTTTAATCATCTTACCCAAGCCTCTAACAACCTGGGTAAGCTAAAGATGTGAATGGAGCATGTGAATATAGCATGGGAAGATTGTGTTCACAGATTTTTCCAGCATGTCCTTAAAGATCTGTTATTTAGACGAACACCATCATGGGCTGCCTGCAAAATGAAAAATGACTGACTGCCCACCTGCCAGTGGGCCTGAAATCCAACTTAATTTACTTTTAGCTCAGCATCAAGTTCTGCTTAAGAGAAACATCATGTTTTAGCCACTCCTCAAATAAAAATAGGTATTGAGGTTAACCTAAAGTCGGTCAGAAGTAAACAGTGAAGCAACATGGTTGACTTGATTTATTTTCAGGAAATTAGAGATGAATTGATCCAGTTTCTAAAGAGAAATATCTATTCCTATATAATAAAGTTTAAATTCAAACCAGTAAATTTTAGTTTGTCTTCAAAATAGGTAAATTTAAAAGGTTTTCATTTTAACATAATTATGCAGTGGTTTTTGTCATGTGTGTCTTCCTCATTGCTTTTGTGATAGCTTTAATATATAAATGTTCTTGTTCATTAAAAAACTGAAAATGTTTTGTATATTTACACTGGCCAGAGTTGTAATATTTTCTTCCACTATACATGCCTACATGAGTTAGATAGTAAATTATGCTGTAGTGAGTTGGTAAGAATGAAAAGAAATTGGGAGTTTAAGAGGAGCAGGGAGCTGCCATTCCAAAAGTTTTGCATTTGAGAATGAGTGAGGATAAAAAGCCCATTTTCAGGCTCATGCACTTATGTGGCTCATGCACCTTTCTCATGTATTAGGTTGGCCAAAAAGTTCGTTACATTTTTCCCGTAAAATAAAAGACACATTTTTTCATTTTCACCAATAACTTTATTGATTTGGATATTTTGAGTGTGTTGGCTATCTCCCACTATGAGCTTCTAGTGGGTAGAGACCAGGGGTGCAGCTAAATATCTTCCAGTGTATAAGACAAACCCACAGCAAAGAATTATTTGGCCAAAATGTCAATAGTACCAAGAAAATGAGCAAGCCACTTTTGACACCTTTGTTCAATCACAGCACCTCCATACACTGCACAAATCTTTTTTGTGTGTTTCAGTTGCATTTTTACCTTTCTTGAAATAAAGCATAATATGCCAAAAATGTTGCTTATCTTCTTCGATCTTCAGTATTAAAATGGCTGTACAAAAATGCACCCACTTTGATAAGTTTTTTAAATGCATGCTGCTATGACAGCTGTAATAATACAATCTAGCAAAATTGTTTTGAATGAAGTTAAAGACAACTAAGCACTGCTAGAGTCCTCATAGGGAAAAAACGTAGCAGACTTTTTGGCCAATCCAATATATCTTCCCGGGAAAAGTGGCTAAAAATCACTGGTGTTAACTTGTTACATGAAATGGAAAGTTTTTAAATACTACAAGTGTAGTTCTGTATACATTTAGCAAATGATTTTGATTCTGTGTAGTCTTTTTATGTTATCATGATAATTGTTTGCTCACAGTCTGATCTGTCAAGAACTTAGAAGTTTCACCAGTTCCAAAGAGTAATAGTAAATGGTAGAATAATGGTACTTACAGGCCTTGGTGCTAGGTGGCACATTTTATGTGTGAAAATAAACTTTCTTTTTGAGATCCTGTGACTTCGTGAATGTTTCAGAAATAGCTTTGAAGAAAATAAACATCTAAAGCAAATAACTGCTTTCCAGAAGAGCAAAACAACCTTCTTTAGAGAGATTAAGGATGAAAGTCAAGAGAACAGTTCTTTCCTTCTGGCTTACTTCAATCTTTAGTTTGTTTTGCTGTTCTTTTTCAAATACTTTGTTCATACTGCCCTTAGCACTTTTATTAATTAGTTTACTAAGCAGTATAACCTAAGTATGTGATCATTTGTTACAGAATTACCAGCTATTATTAGTGAAGTCCTAGGACAAATGACCACTTTCTAGCTTGTTCCATAACATTAAGGAACTTGTAAAACTAAGTTTGATATTCATCGGCTGTAGTAGGCTCCCAGATTCCTCAGGTCCTTTTTCACCCTCTTCCCCTCTTCACTCTCCTTTTAATAGTCTACCTGTGGGTCTTTGACCTAAAGTGCCACTTGACATTCCCGTGTAAAAGCCCAGCTCCTTTATCTTGGACAGGTGCACCTTACACTCCAAAACTTTCTGGAGGAGTCAGTGTGTGAGGTCAACCTCCATTCAACTTTGCCAGAATTACACTCTTGTGTTACCTTCCTTTCCTGTCTTATTCCCAGTGCCTTACTTGACTTAACATCTCTTTAATGAGTTACTTGAATACATTCATCACTTTCTGAGGAACTGACCTAAGTTATTAACTGTAGAGTTAAGTGATTTGTAACAAAGTCAAGTGGGGTTTTTCCCTGTTCTGGAATAAGGCCAAAGTGGAGATTAAAAAGTTACTAGGTCCCCACATTCTAAGACCATAGAACTACTGATGGTTAGGACCAGTGAGCACTGCGGGGCTTACTGGAAGGTCTCAATTCATGTGATACACCCTATCACTAAGAGCCATTCCCCAGAAGGCTGGGGAGGCCTGGGAGAGGTCTTTTGCAGGAGTGCAGTGTAGAAGAATGGGAGTTAGTCCTTTGGGCTAAACAAGGTGCATCCTCACTTAGGAACCATAAAGGGGAGGCCTGAAGAAATAATTAAATATTCATGATGCTTCCAAGAAGGACAAGCCAGCATTTTCCCCACCTGGTCGGATTTGTGTTTACCCAGCAGATCAGCACGTTTGTTGTTTTATCCAGAGCATAGGAATGGAGTGGGAGGGCTCACGTGGGGACTGTTGGGTACAGAAGTATTGAAGCTGGACCCTGCCAGCCTGAGAATTGATTCATGAATTGGGGGCCAGAGACCTGCCGCAACTTGAGGTTAAAAGGCAGGTGCAGCAGATGACTAAAGAGTGCTACCTCTTAGTTGGGGTCAGCCAGAATATAGCCAACTCTCAGATCTCTGAAGGACAGCGGGTGCAGGATGGAGCTGCTCAGGGACGAGCTCTGGCCCTCCACGCTAGTGGGGGTTTCTCTGTGCACCGTGAAATCCCTGGGGCACTTGCCAGAACACAGCCAATTAGGGAGCCCCCACCATAAGGCAGTGTTTCTCAAACCAGACTACATCCTATGTGTAATAGGATCACCTGGAAAATTAAAAACAAACAAAAGCCATGTTCAGGCCCCATCCCAGTCCAATTATATCAGAAACATGGTATTTTTGTTAAAGGGCTCCAGATGGCTTTAACGTGTAGCCTAAATTGAGAGCTACTGCAATAAGGAAACCTAGCATCTGCTTCCCAAAGAGAAGAGAGCAAAGGGAGGAGAAATAGGAAAACAAACTACTCTTGACTGGAGTGGCCCGTACTGTGTAGGGAGAAAAAGACCTTTGAAACCAATGTGGAACCCTCGATGAAACATTTTAAAATAAACAGGACTGAGCTTTTGAAACTGACTATATACCTGAAAACTCAGAGAATCTGGCCAAGAAGATAAAGGTGGTAACTACTGAGACTGGATGGTAAGAAGCTAGGAAAATTCCTTAGCAAGTGGAATGGGGAAGAAACAGACAGGCAATTTACAGCCAGATCCAGAAGGTCACCTCCCTAGAGAGAACATCTAGGCCTCAGTTGTATTTCAGCTCCAGGCCCAGAAAAGCAGCAAAACCAGGTAGGTGATGCCAGGACCACCTGCAGTAACCCCCTGCCCTGGCACTGACCAATCAATAAAGACCCTGACCCTAAAAGGATACACTTGGAAAACTGCCAAATACTCTGCTGAAACCCTCCCCCCTCCCCCCTCCCCCCAGACCTTCCCTAAGATTCCCACCTGCAAGAAAGAGATAAAAACCTTAAGACAGAACACGCTGCATGCTCTGCCTCCGGGGAGCAGCCAAGGCCATTACCTTTCCCCTCCTCTTCCCTCGCTTCCTCCCCCACAATCTGGCATCTAATCTCTAAGGGTCCTTGCAAGAGTTGCAGTGTTGCAGTTGGGAGAAATGGGCAGCGACAGCTTGTCCCAGGCTAATCCCCTGAACCGGTCCAGCAAGCTAAGGCAGCCCAGCCTGGGCTCTCCTGTTGCTACTTCTGTGCTAACTCCTTCCTTGTTCTACTCTCCCTAGCTTTAATAAATGTACGCTTATAGTCACCTGGACTCTCATGAAATCTTTCCTACACAGCTAAGGACCCACACACTACCGGCTGGCTCTAGGCAGATCTGCTTAGGGCCAGCCCCCTGTCCGGTAACACTATCGAGTGGAAAACTCAACAGCTGGAAAAAGAAAATCATTAACAGGTGTAGTCACCAATGATTTGGGTTTCCTCTATATGCCAGTTATAATGAAAGATCTTTGAGGATGCAAAGCTTTGAATCTTAACCTGCTGCAGTTCTTAACCAAGGGTCCATAGATCATGTGTTTGGTGAACTTGGGAGTGAAGTTATTTTTAATTATTTTAGGAAGTACTGTATTAATAATCGAAAATGGTAATGGGATTTTTTACATAACATACCTTTTAAATTTTTCTTACCCTCTTGCTTGAAAGTTTCCTTGTTACATGATGCCAGATAAAATATTAAACTCAGACTACAGATGGAGTCATTTAAAGAATGAGGGTCATAGAAATATGACTTGTTGTTCTAAAGGTTCCCTGTAGATGGCAATACTTGACTTTATCTTTAAATAGTTTATAGAAAGGGAGTTGTTAAAATAGAATATTTTGAAATGGAATCACACTTGCATTTTAAAGATGAATTTAATTGGATTTTAAAGAATAAACCTATCTACCTATTATGAGTTGCTTTCAGAATATATCATAGTTGTATTAGTCTGTTTGGGCTGCTATAACAAATTACCATAGATGGGATGGCTTATAAATAACAAGTTTATTTTTCACAGTTCTGAAAGCTGGGAAATCCAAGAGCAGGGTTCCCACTTCCTCATAAGCAGCTGTTCTCACTGTAACCTCACATGGCAGGAGGGGCAAGTGACCTCCCTGGGGTTCCTTTTATAGGGTGCTGGCCCCATTTTATGAGAGCGTCAGCCCCATGACTTCCTTGCCTCCCAGAGGCCCCACCTTCAAATACCATCGCACTGGGGGAATAGGTTTCAATATATGAATTTGGGGGGGGGGGGGACACAAACATTGAGACCATAACAACAGGACAAGTGAAACTGGATTTCTTATAAAATTATTTGATTTATCTTTTTTTGTCCATTGCATTCTGATAGGCCTTTTGAACTTTTGAATGTCATTCATAAATTACATAAATTGCAATTTATAAGCCACTTCTCTGCCATCTACTATAAGAGAGAGACAGACATTTAAGATGCTAAATTCAAGTTCTGAAAATTCACCTTGAAAGTACCTTTTATATAATACATAATTTTACATCCAAGGTACTTGAAACTTCTAATTAATTTTAATTAGTTTTTTCAAACCAGTGTATCTGCCTCATTAGAGTTGTTAGTAGTTCTTACATCCAAAGCTAAAGCTCTGTCTTTGGCCATACCACATTCCTGTAAGCTGCGTGCAGCTATTTGACTTTCAGTTTTTCTTTTTCAAGAAACATCAGAATTTGAGGTTTTGATTCATTGATAATAAACATTATCATTGTAAAAGTAGAATATTCAATTGTAAAAGTACAATATTCAATTTCCATACCATAGAGACCTTCAAGCTACTACAAACACAGGAAAAAAAATTGTCAACAAAATTTTACAGAAAATAAGTAATGGAAAAGCAAAGTTTTCACTTGACATAATTTTGTGTAGGAAAGCAGTAAATTCTCAAATCATTTTCACCAGTTAGGGTAAAACTGTTAGGTATTTCTGGTGATTTAAGACATTGTCTTAGTCTTATGTGTTGGTGGAATTCTGTGAAAATATAGTGTGTCCATCGATTGTGATGTACATTTTATATAATTCATTATTAATAACAAGATAGTTTTCAAAACAATAGACTTTAAAAATATTAGAGCAGATAATCTCAATGATGTTTTCCCACATGCATTCTGAAAACAAAGTGTTGTCAGAGCACAGCCTCTGAGACTGGGTTATCTGGATTGAATCCCAGTTCTGCCATTACTAGCTGTATGACCTTGAGAAAGTTACCTAAACTCTGTGTACCTCAGTTTCCTCACATGTAAGGTAAAGATCATAATCGTATCTACCCCATAGTTTGTCATAGGGATTAAATCAGTTTAATACATGCAATGCATGTATGTACCTAAACAGTTAGTGTAAGTGTTCTGTAAATGTTGTGATTATAGTAGGGGTGGAGTTATTTCACATGTGGGGACTGGGAAAACGTGACTAATGCAAGTCGGTTTTCGTCTGCATTATAGTATGGTTTGCAGTATAGGACCCATGTAAATATCACTCCTCCATTATGATGGGAGGATGTTGAGAACCCTTTCATGGTTCTGTTATTTGAACAAGTAAACAATTTTAGAAAGAAGAAAATGTGGTGGGAAACGCCTTTGCTCTTCATTTCTGTTGTTCTAAAGCAAGTTCCTTGAGCATTCAAAGGCCAGTAGAAAAAGCAAATCCACATTTCTGCATAGGGGAGCCGGGGCTGGTGG